AGAATTCTTGGACACGGAACTTTAAGTATTTTTAGACATGGTTTGCCTTTCGCAACCCACGCCCGAACGAGAACCACGCGCGGCTATTCCCGACCAGAGCCGATGATTTGAATCACTTGTGCACCGCGCTGAGGCGAGAGCAACGTCCCTGCGGTTGGCGGCTCGAAAAATAGCCGCGTCTTACCGGGAACCCAACCGACCGCTGCGTGGTTGGGAATCCGGGAGCCCCGAAATTGCAGGACCCCGGAGGTCAGCCGCTCACCGAAATTCGTGTAGGGCCCGAAGCCAGGGAACCCGGAAGTGGGGGCCCGGGAAGCCACGGCCCAGGACTGTCGCCAAATCTTCCAGAATCCGCCAGGACCTTTTCAGTGCTTGCGCTGATTGGGAGAAAGCGTGTGTTCCATCCGTGTGATACTGTTTGAAATTTCGAGTTTCGACGTCGTCAGTTATGGGGACGTCGGGCGCGAAGCGCCCAGCCCGCCCAAATGACACGTATTGTGATGCGGTACAGGGGAGTTAACTAGAAGGAAAAGGGATGAGCGGAGGGATGAGAATATAAGATCAGATACGATGATACAGCTTAAGACAACACATAATAATATTATATGGTATTATAACTACCGCCAAGTTACCCTTCAGTTGCAACATCGAGGCATCGGTGGAGCAGTCGGAGGGATGAGGAGCAGGAGGAGGAGGGGGCGGAAGGGTGGGGATAAGAAGAGGATGCTGATGATGATGATGATGCTGATGATGATGATGATGATGATGATGATGATGATGATGATGATGATGATGATGATGATGATGATGATGATGATGATGATGAATGATGAGGATGAGGAATAGGATGAGATGAGGATGAGGAAGAGGATGGATGAAGGATGGTGATGGTGATGTTGATGGGTGATGGTGATGGTGATGGGGATGGTGAGGTGATGGGAGGGAGGAGGAGGATGAGGAGGAGGATTTAGGAGAGAATAGGAAAAGGAGGAATAGGATGAATATGAGGGGAGAGATGAGGAAGAGGAGGAGGAGGAGAGGAGGAGGATGAGGAGGAAGGAGGAGGAGGAGGAGGGGGATGATGAGGAGAAGGAGGTGGAGGAGGAGGATGAAGAGCTGGAGGAGGAGGAGCTGGAGGAGGAGGAGAAGGAGGAGGAGGAGGACGACGAGGAGGAGGGAGGGAGGGAGGGAAGGAGGGAAGGAAGGAAAAATTGGAAGGACGGAAGGCAGGAGGGAAGGAAGGCAGGAGGGAGGAGGACACGCACGCGCTCTGTCCTCCTGGCGTTCCGGCGGGAGGCAGCCCGCCTGGCTCTCGGCAGGCGGGAGGCGCCCAGCACAGATTCACGCCGTCGTTCGGGCGCGGGGTGGCGCCTGAGGCCCCAGGGGAAGTCGACCTTCCTTCGACCGCGAGACAGAGTCCTTCCTCCTCCTCCTCCTCCTCCTTCTCCTCCTCATTCCTCCTCCTCCTCCTCCTCCTCCTCCTCCTCCTCCTCCTCATTCCTCCTTGCCTCGGGTGCTCGATCGTGGTACCCTCGCAGCCACGCAGCCTTCGCGTAGAAGCCTGCCGGAGGCCGCCAGAGATCGTTGAAGACCGTCGAGGGCCGCCGAAGGCTGGCGGGTGAGGACGGGTTGCGCCTGATACCCCAAGGGAAGTCGACCTTTCGACCGCGGGACAGAGTCGACAGGAGGGCGCGCGCACGCACTCTTTCCTTCTAGGCCTCCCAGACAGGGTGGGAGTAGATGGGGTAGGAGGATCGCGCCTCATCGCCGATGCATCGCCGATGCGGCTCGATGCGGAGCTCGATTTGCTTCACGCCGACGTTGCCGGTGCACCGCCGACGTCCACGATGCATCGCAGGTGCATCGCCGACGCATCGCCGATGCATTGGCGATGTATTGGCGATGCGGCGCGATCGTCCGACCCCCTCTGCTCCAACTCAGTCTGGGAGGCTTCTGCTCCTGCGGGGGACGAAAGCCATACATGATGTCCACTGCCACATGGCCGGGCCCTCCCTGGGCCCAGGAGCTGCATGCGCCCTCCTGGCCAAGGCGGGAGGGCGTGGCGTATACACCGCTGCTGGGTTTAGGATGGACCTGGCCAGGGAACTGTCCTTCAGACCAGGGACCTGAGACCTCAGGGGAGTCGACCTTCATTCGGCGACACCTGGGGCCTCAGGGGAGTCGACCTTCATTCGGCGGCGAGCCCGGGGGGAGTGAGAGGGGGAAGGCTTTCTCAGAAGACGGCCCAGCTTTCAGAGGCCCTCCGGCCTACTGATAAGCCGTCTCTGTCCCCAGAGAAGACAGAACATGTTTTAGAAGGCTGGCGGTCTTCCGAGCCTTCTGAGAAGGCCCGCCCCCTCAAACTTCTCCCCTGGGCTCGCCGCCGATTCATCGACCGCTGAACAGAATCGACAGGTGGACGCGCACGCGCACTTCTCCCTCCGAGAAGCCGCTGGGTTAAAGCCAGCGGTGAGAAGTGGAGCAGGGACATTGTGGAGCCCTGGCCCTGGCCCCGGCTGCTGCCGCGACCTCGCTGCCCTGGCTCCAGCCCGCTCACCGCGGAATTCTTCCGTGTCTAAGCGCCTCCCTCTTTCTCCCCCTTCGCGGCCGCCCGACGCAGGTGCGGATCGCCTCCGCCTCGCCGCCGACGAAAAACGGGTGGACACGTGGGCAGCCCAGAGAGTCCCAACGACGGTAGCACACGGCCGACCGCCAAGCTGCGGCGTGCAGGTGAGGCACGGCACGGGCCGGGGCCACGTCGGGGAGGGAAGAGCAAAGCAACAGAAAGTAATAGGCAGAGAGAGAGAGAGAGAGCCCACGGCAAGCCCGAGGGCGCCGTAGTAGAGGGACCTGGCAGGCCGGGCGCGCACCCACTGCCTCCTCCGACGCGCTGAGGACGGCAGTCGGCGGGGAAGGAGGAGGAGGACGAAGGCGAAGAAGAAGACGAAGAAGACGAAAAAGACGAATTACAATGACAGGAGTTCGATGATTAATCGGAATACTCAGAACAACAACAACAACAGCAACAACAACAACAACAACACCAACAACAACAACAACAACAACAGCAACAGCAACAACAACAACAACTACAACTACAACTACAACAACAACAACAACAACAACAGCAGCAGCAACAACAACAATACTAATATGACGAATACGGATAGAAGAAGGCAACACTAAACTATTAATCATGCGAGCAATGCTAAGCATACTAATAAGAAGCATACAGTTCATGCTACTGAGAGTAATGCGTATACTACGTATGAAGATGACAATAATCATACTCGGACGACTACTAATCTTATTAATCATACAAAACACTATACATACTATAATTAACAATAACCACATCATTGCGAAGCATAATGGTCATCTTAATAATGATACGGCGAATATGCATACTAAGAACACGAAGGGGACGAGGAGGAGGACGAGGAGGAGGACGAGGAGGAGGACGAGGAGGAGGAGGAGGATGAGGAGGAGGAGGTATTTAAGGTAGGAGGAGCGAGGGGAGGCGGACGAGGAGAAGGAGTGAGGAGGTAGGAGAGATGAGTGAGAGGAGGAATGCGGAGGGGAGGTAGGAGGAGAGGAGGAGGAGGAGGAGGGGGGGGGGGCGGATGGGGAAGGAGGGTAAAAGAGGGAAGGGGCGGAGGATGGCGAGGATGAGAAGGAGGAGGCGGAGGGGATGAGAGGAGGAGGATGGAGGATGAGGAGGAGGAGGAGGAGGAGGAGGAGAAGGATGAGGAGGAGAAGGAGGAGGAGGAGGAGGAGGAGGACGAGGAGAAGGAGGAGGAGGAGGAGGAGGAGGAGGAGGAGGAGGAGGAAGAGAGCGCGAGGCCGATGACGAAGGTTCGCTCCGCCGAGCCGCGCGGTCCCCGCCGCGCGTCGACAGGGGCCCTGAGCCTCCAGCGGCGTACCAGGGCCCCTGACCACGGGGGCCCTGACGAGGCAGGACCCCGAACCACTCAGCACACGACGGTCTCAACCTTGCCGACGTGCCACTCCATGTGCAAGGGGGGGAAGGGAGGGCCACCCATGCGCGCAAAGCGGCGAGGCGGTTTCGCCCTCCCCCACGCACACCCCCGCCTGCTCCGGAGGCCCCCAACGCTGCCGAGGCCGCGGCGCACGTCGCCAAGAAATGGCGGTCGGGCCCGAGGCGCGGCTACGACAGCCGCTCGATCAGCGCCTGCCTCCGCCCACGCCTCGGCGGCGGGCGAACGGCGGGCGGCTCGGCGGACTGCCCCGAAGCAACCGACCAGGCGCGCGGGGCGGCCGAGACCACCCCGGGCGCGGCGTCCGCCCTGCTGTCGTCGGCGAGCTCCACGTCGCCGTCCTCCGCCACCTCCTCCTCCATCAGCGCCAGAGGCTCCTCTGCGACCAGTCCTGCCGCGCCGCGCGCGGCGGCGGCGCCTCCGCCGAGGCGCGGGGCCCACGCCGTCAGGCGGCACGGCTGCCGCGGGCGCAGCAGGCGGCTCCGCAGGGTCGCCACCAGCCATGGCGGCCTCGAGCTCCGCCACCGCCGCGCGGCAGAGGCCTTCGACGTTGCGCAGCAGGCGGCACGCCGCCGCCGCGCCCCGCGCCAGGCCCGCAGCCGAGAGAGCCGCAAGCGCCAGCCCGCGTGCGGCAGCCAGGGCGTTGCGCAGCTGGCGCTGCTGCGTCGCCATCGGTTCCAGGTGCTCGCGGCGAGTCTGCGCGGCGCGCGGCCCAGCGTCGGCGGGTTTGAGAATGGCGCGATGGCTGGAGGAGGAGGAGAAGGAGGAGGAGGAGGAGGAGGAGGCGGAGGAGGAGGAGGAGGAGGATGGGGAGGAGGAGGAGGAGGAGGAAGAGGAGGAGGAGGAGGAAGAAGAGAGGACGAGGATGGTTGAGGAGGAGGAGAAGGAGGAGGAGGTGGAGGAGGAGGAGGAGGAGGAGGGATGGAGGAGGGATGGAGGAGGCCCCCTGTGAAGCCGCAGGGCGACGGCGACGGCGCGCCCGCGCGCGCACGCGCCGCGGAGGCCCTGGTGCTCATCTCCGACAGCCTCTCAGAGCTCCCCGCGGAGGCCTGACCGCCACAGCTGGGATCGGGATCGGTATCGGGATCGGATGGTGATCTCGGAGGAGGAAACCTATACATGCTCGCGTCGTACAACAAACAATCAGGACGGAGGTTTTTCGCCGTGTTCGGCCTCTGGAGGCCCTCGCTGGGCCCTGGGACCGTCAAACAACGACTCAGGATGAGAAGCCGTTCCCGGGGAAAGGGTCGGACTTCCGGGGACCGTGCATTGAACAAATCAGGACGTCGCATGTCTGTGAATGGCACCCAAACTGTTATTCTCGTCCCGTCTTTGTCTTTTTGGGCCTCCTGGGAGATTCTCGTCGCCAGCGTTAGATTCGCCTCGAGATCCTTTTCAGAGCGCACCTCGGGAGAGGGCTCGGGAGAAGCGGCTCCCCCAGATCGGATCTTGATCAGGGTCGAAGGGATCGAGATCGGATCGGATCGGGATCGGGATCATGATCGGGCTCGAGTGCGGATCGTGATCGGATCGGGATCGGGATCGGATCGTGATCGGGTTCGAATCTAGATCGTGATCGGATCGGGATCGGGATGGTATCGAGATCGGACCGGCATCGGATCGGGGGGCCTTCTCAGGAGGTGGCGGGGCTCCTCAGAAGCCCTCGTGCCTTCTGAGAAGCTGTGGATCGGCCTTCTCCGAAGCTGCGGACGCCCTCTCAGAGGGTGCGAGGGATCCCGAGAAGCCACAGGCGGCTTCTGAAAAGGATTGCCAACTCTCACTCCCCTTCTTTCTCGCGCCGCGGAACACCCCTCTCGAGGGATCGTCGACGCGGTGGGCTCCTACAGGGGGGTACGGTCAGGAACTTTACCTTAGCGTGTCGCGCCGCCAGCTCTGGCCGCCCGCGCTTCGGCGCGACACGCTATCCACGTCCCAGACCTCGAGCGTCAGCGTCCCGAGCCTTTCCGATTCCGAGCCTCCCGCCCCGTGGAGCGGAGCGACAGTCTGTCCGCTTGCAGGGCACAGCGTGTCGCCGGAGCCGCCGCCGCGACGCGCGAAGCAAAAGTCCCCCACCGTACAGCCCAGTCGCTGAAATAAGGACCGCTTTGGGTTCGGAGGGGGCTCGCTGCTCCTGAGGTCATTCCGCGGTTGTTCCGCGAGCCCTACAGGGGCTTTGTTCCTAATGTAAGGCTCCTTATTTCAACAGCCTGGCCGCAAGGGGGCGCAGGGAGGGGAGATGGGAGATGGGGGAGGAGGAGGAGCGAGGAGCGAGGAGCGAGGAGCGAGGAGCGAGGAGCGAGGAGCGAGGAGGAGGAGGAGGAGAAGGAGGAGGAGGAGGAAGAAGAAGAGGAAGAGCGAGGAGCGAGGAGGGAGGAGCGAGGAGAAGGACGGAGTAGTGAGGAGGGGGAGAAGGATGGTGGGCGGGGGAGGAGAAGGAGAGGAGGGGGAGGAAGCTGCTAGTGGGTGACGCGGGTAGAAGGAGAGGGGGAGGGGGGATAGGAGGAGAGGAGGGAGGAGGGGAGGAGGGGGAGGAGGAGGAGGAGGGAGGAGGAGGAGGAGGAGGGAGCTCAGCTCCACCAGCCGTGGCTGGGCCTGGAGGTCGGGCAGCTCGCCCAGCTGACTCAGCTGTTCCTGAACGGCAACTTCCTGCGGGCGGTCCCCGAGGAGGCGGGCGCCCTGCTTCCCCGTTTTCCTCGTTGTCCTCGTTCTCCTCGTTCTCCTCGTTCTCCTCCTCCTCCTCGTTCTCCTTCTCCTCCCCCTCCTCCTCCTCTAACCCTCCTCCTCTCCTCCTCCTCTCCGTCCTCCTCCTCCTCCTCCTCCTCTCTCCTCCTCCCTCCTCCTCCTCCCGTCACCGCTCTCTCCGCCCCTCCTCCTCCTCCGCCTCCTCCTCCTCCTCCTCCTCTTTCCTCCTCCTCCTCCTCCTCCTCCTCCTCCTCCTGTGCTCCTCAATCCTCCTCCCCCCTCGCTGCGCCCTCCTTCTTCTCCTCCTCCCTCCTCCTTTTCCTCGTCCTCCTCCTCCTCCTCCTCCTCCTCCTCCTCCTCATCCTCCGCCTCGTCCTCCTCCTCCTCCTCCGCCTCCTTCTCCTCCTCATTGCGCCCTCCTGCGCCCTCCTCCCTCTCCTCCCTCTCCTCGTCCTCGTCGTCCTCCTCCTCCTCCTCCTCCTCCTCCTCCGCCCTCTCTCTCCTCCTCCCTCCTCCTCGCTCCTCCTCCTCCTCCTCCTCCTCCGCCTCTCCTTCTCTTCCTCCTCTCCTCCCCTCTCCTCCTCCTCCTCTTCCTCCTCCTCCTCCTCCTCCTCTCACCCTCCTCCTCACTCTTATCGTCCCTCCTCCTCCCTCATCCCTCCTCCTCCTCTCCGCCCTCCATCTCCGCCTCCTCCTCCTTCTCGCTCCTCGCTCCTCGCTCCTCCTCCTCCTCCGCCTCCTCCTTCTCTTCCTCCTCCTCCGCCTCCTCCTCCTCCTTCCTCCTCCTCCTGCCCCTCTGCCCTGCCTGGCGCTGGCCAGGAGGAGCTCCTGGCCAGCGCCAGGCGGAGGGGCGAACTACGGTGTAGGTCAAATCGAGCCTGTCCCTCTACAGGAGGAACATTCACACATATTCAAGCAACATAATATGTGGGCCGACTTATTCTCTATGATTGAGCATTTGTGGTGTATGTTTAATGTTCGCCCAGACTCCGCCTGTAGGAAGGCATGCCCGACCGAAATGTAGGCATTATACAAGGAATCTGTGCTTCCAGGCGAGACCCGCGGACATATCGTAATGATGGGCGGGCGCAGTTCTGGGCCCCCACGCGTGGCCCCAGAAGGCGGCCCCTCCCCCCGCGGCCACGCCTGCGCCCTTGGCCCGTTTTTGATGGTCCCGGGGCTCGGGCCCGAGGAGGTCCAAATCCAGGAACCACATCCAGAGTCAAGACAGCACGTCCTGGGAGATCAAACGAGTCACAGTCAAAAGCAAGCAAAAGTATTGTAAACACAAGCAAGCATGCAAGCAAGCAAGCAAGCAAACAAACGCACACACACACACACGAACACACACACACACACACACGAACACACACACACACACGCAATTAGATAACCAAACATATAACGAAACAAACAAGCAAGCAAGCAAACACACACACACACATACATACATACATACATACATACATACATACAGACAGACAGACAGACAGACAGACAGGCAGGCAGACAGGCAGGCAGACAGACAGGCAGACAGTAAACAAACAAACAAACAAACAAACAAACAAACAAACAAGCAAACATGAACAATATGTTGCTAATCGCATCGTCGGAGATTTGGGCCTCCACAGAGGTGGGAGCCCTGCCCGTCCTGGAGGAGGCCTGCTTCGATTCCAACCAGCTGGAGTCGTTGCCGCCCTTCACCTCGCCGAAGCTGGTGCTCTTCACCGCCCCTGCGAACCACCTGGCGGAGATGCCGCCCCTCGCAGGCGGGCTCGACCGGCTGGAGGCGCTCGAAGAACAGAAAGCGGCACGAGCAAAACAAATGCGGAGCGCCGAACGTGTACGGTCAGGAAGTTTGGCTTCGCTCCGAACTTGTACGTTATCGTTGGTTCTCGGCGGCTTTCCAGCCTCGGGAAGCTCTCCATCAGCTGCGCCTCGTCGAGGGCGTCCCAGGGTGGCCAGGATCGTCCGGAACGGCCGCCGGAGAGCCGAGTTCGGGCTCGAAAGCCACCAGGGGATGCGGTCGGGAACTGTGGCTCAGCGTGTCGCGCCGCCGGTTCTGGCCCGCCACGCTTCGGCGCGACACACTGTCCATGCTCGTGGTCCCCGAGCGTCCAGGTTCCGAGATGGTTCGAGCCCCCATCCCCGAGGAGCGGAGCGACATGCTATCCGCTCGCAGGGCACAGCGTGTCGGCGGGGCGGCCGCCGTGACACGCCACGCAAAAGTTCTTGATCGTATGCCTGTGCAGTTCCTATCGATCCTCTAGGTGCACGGCAACCGCCTGACCGTGCTCGTGCCGCCGGGGTCCTTGGCCCGCTGGGACAACATCAAGAACTTGAAGTTGATGGGGAACAGGCTCCGCGCGCTCCCCGAGGCTCGGGAGAGGGTCAGAGGAAAATGTCCCCAGAGAGCAGCAAAAACATAAACACAATTTGTTGGAACTCCGCGCGGATTTCTCGGATCGGCGCTGGAGCAACCTGGCGGCGCCTCTGGCGCCACCCTTGATGCCCTCCGCGCGCCAGGGAGGGGGGTACAGCGCCGATCCAAGAAATCCGCGCGGCAGTCCGAAAGGCTCTGTTTATACCATTACTTGCCCCCTGGAGTTGTTCAGTAAGCGTGGGGAGTGGATCGCGTGAGGGTGTATAGGAGTGGGCTGTCCTCTGCGCGGCGTGGGGGGGGGTTGTTATCGCATGAGGTTAGGGGTTAGGTGGGCGTGTGGGGGCCAGCCATACCCACTCGAGTCATGAAAACATGACGGCGGGAGGTTTTTCGCTACTTTCGGCCTCTCTTGGGGCCCTCGCCGGGCCTCGGGAGCGTCAAAAAGCAGCTCAGGAGGAAAACCTGGCCCCGGGGAATGGGTCGACACCTCTGGGGGTCGACGCCAGGACAGATGGGGATTTGGCGGGCATGCTTCTCAAAACAACCTGGGGCACCGATTGGGGGAACGAGCAATGACGCAAACGTAAACCCTCGGAGGTCCGCGCGGATTTCTCGGATCGGCGCTGGACCCCCTTGGCGGGGCCTCCGCGCGCCGCCCCTGGCGCGCTCCGCGCGCCAGGGAGGAGGAGGAGGAGGAGGAGGAGGAGGAGGAGGAGGCGAAAGGAGGAGGAGGAGGAGGAGGAGGAGGAGGAGGCGAAAGGAGGAGGAGGAGGATGCGAAAAGAGGAGGAGGAGGAGGCGAAAGAAGGAGGAGGACGAGGACGAGGACGAGGACGAGGACGAGGACGAGGACGAGGACGAGGACGAGGACGAGGACGGACTTTGGTCCGAACATAGCGAGGCCCCAGAGAGGCTCTCGCCACTCGCCATATAGGCCTCCGCGGCGCTCGCCTGCGGCCAGGCCGCTGGAGCGTAGAGGGCTGCTATGGCCCAGCTGGGGGCCCGAGCGCGCGCTCGCGCTCTGGGCTTAATTAAGTAATTGAGTCGGGCCTGTCCCTGGAACTCCAGGGGGGCGACGAGGTCGACGAGGTGCCTTGTAATTAGGGCGACGTTTTTTTCTCGGCGAGGCGGGGCTGGGAACCATGAAGTGGAACTCAGAGCATGCAAGACGAGATGGAGTTCAGAGCATGCAGACTTAAGCCCAGAGCTCGAGCAAGAGGAATGCTCAAACAGAGTACAAACATGCTAGGGGGACGATTGTTGGAGTATGTTTGAGCCTTTCCCTGGCACTTTCCCGACATGTTTTTCATTGCTCGTCCGATCTCAGCTTGTAGGGGGACATGCCCGACCGAACTCTGGGCCCGGGAAGCGGCCCGCAGAGGCCTGGGCGTCGTGGCGCCAACATCGCAGAGCGGATGTCGTTCGGAAAACCTTGGGATGGGCCCAGAGTGTCCTGGAGAGTTTCGTTCTGGAGTTCGATGTGCATTTCGTGCGGTTTTTTTTGCCAGGAAGGAAGACTACCACACATCCACGCGAAATTCACTTCGTTTTTCGCTGGCCGTTTCGGGGTTTTGCATTGACAGACATCCACGCAAAAGTCCGCTGCAGCACGTCTGCAAGGTCGGTGCAGTGAGCAGAGGCCTGATCGTGACAAAGGGTGTGATTACGCTGGGGTTCGGAGGAGGAGAAGGTTCTCATACCTCTACCCTTTCCCAGTTTTCCCCTTGTTGGGCCTCCTGGGAGACTCTCGTCACCACCGCTGGATTCGCTTCGAAATCCGGGTCAGAACGCACAGAGAGGTTCGGGGAGTAGCGGTATCGGTACCTTTTGGTTTCCCCAGGGATGTGGTTTACGATCGGCGCCACTGGGGCCTGGAGGGCACGGCATTGTCCTCGTCAGGCCTCCTGGGGGGCGCGGCGGAGAATTCTAGATCGATGTGCCCGCCCGCCCCCCAGGGTGCCAGCTGCAAGCCACACCCTGTGCAGGCCACATTCCTTCGTAGCCGCCGAGAGAACTCGGCGCACCCAAACCAAACTTCCAGCGTGTCGAGAAACTCGAGGCGGAGGACTCTCGCAGCTTGCGGCCTCAGGGTGCCCTCGCTGGGCCTGTGGGGCCGTCAAGCAACGGTGCAGGACGAAGAGCCGCCCCCAGGGAAAGAGTTCCAGCCCTCTGGGGGCCCCGCATGGAGAAATTCATGACGTCGGCTGTCTGGGTGAACGTACGGTCGGGAACTGTGGTACAGCGTGTCGCTCCGCCGGTCTGGCCCACGACGCCGCGGCATGACGCGCTATCCACGGTCTGGCCCCCAGGTTTCAACGTCCCGAGCTGGAGCTGAAGTTTTTTTACTCGAGCACATAACGCGCGTTATGCGGCCTCCAACCCGCCCACCCACCCAGTAGATAACACAACGCCCGCCGCTCCACCCACCCCGCTGCAGCAACGCTTGTTGCTTACGTAGCGCACAGGAATGCTGGTCGTAGTGCGCGCAATGTGCTTTGCAGTGTGCGCAGGCATGTGCCTGTGGTATGTAGGGGCGCGTGGCGCGCGCAGGCTGTCACACACAGGCGCGGCGGCGCACCCACATTGGAAGAAACAGGCAGTTTGGAATGCATCGCGCACGCGCAGGCTGCGGCGGCATTTGTGGTGCACACAGGCGCGGTGGTGCGTAGCAGTGTAGTATACACCGATACAGTTGTGCGCGCAGGCAACGGGGGTGGGGGCCGTACCCGTGGCCAGGAACAAAATCAATACACAAAAACAAGTTTCACATGGAGTTTGATTCGCTCGGGCTGGCAATGGTTTGTTGGAGTTTGACACCGTCTGGCAACTGGAGGTTGCGTGGGCTTTGTGGTGTACGCGGGCACTGTGATGTTCTTCTGGGTTGCATTCGTACGCAGGCACAGGGGTGCACAGAGTTTTTGTTCTGGGCTGCTACGTGGCGAGCAGTACTCCCGTGACTGTGGTGCGCCGCAACGTCTTGGACAATTCCTGTATTACCATCGCGCCGACCACAGCGCAGTGACCACCCTGTGACCCCGAAGTGACCTGTCGACTGAGAACGGTAGGAGGAGGGGTGGACGGGGAGGAGAAGGAGGAGGAGGAGGAGAAGGAAGAGGAGGAGGGAGAGGACGAGGACGAGGACGAGGACTAGGACGACGAGGACGAGGACAACGGGCAGATGCGGGGAGCAATGAGGTGAAAGGGGGGATTTGAGCCTTTGGGTGCCCTCATGGGCGCGTTCTTGGGTTTATCTTTGACCTCTTAAAACAGGTTTTCTTGGGCGCCTTATTATTGGGGCCTCCTGGAAGTGCCGCTTGGTGGTCTCCCTCTTGGGAGCCCCTTGAGCAGTATTGGGCGTTTTTTCTGCCGCTTTGGGGCCGTCCCGAGCCGCGTCGGAACCCTTTGGGGGGCCTCTTGGGCCAGCGTGTTCTCGGACGAAATGGAGGCACAAATGAACTCGATGCGGCAAGTGCCCTTCCCCTCTGGAGGGATCTCCGCCGCCGCCGCACGCAGCTCGAAAAACTTGCCAAAGTGGTCACCAGGCGGCCCCAAAAAACAGTAACCACAAAAGGCCTGCACATTCAATGTGATGCCTTCGCGCCCCCCCTCACGAACATGAGTTTCGGTTGATGGGCTTCGTCGGGTGCCACGAAGTGTACGCGGGCTCTGTGGGTGCACGCAGGCGCCAGTCGCCGCGCTGCGCGCGGCTGCTGTGGTGTGCACGCGGATCGTGTTGTACACAGGAGCTGTGGTGCACGCGGAACGTGCTTGTGCGGCCGCAGCTGTGTTGTATTGAGGCGTTGTGGTGCACGTTTTCACAAGTGTGTACACAAGCGCTGTGGTGCACAGGGGCATTGCCATGCACCCACTCAGTGTGATGCACACCGGCGATGTGGTGCATGCGTAGGTTGCTGCATCCGCATGCGTGGTGAGAGCGGGCGTTGCGGTGTCAACGCGCCTTGTGGCGATCCCAGCTGCAAGGCCATTTCGCTACATCAGTACCACAAACAACAACAGGGAGCATAGCTTCAGAACAAAATTCGAGCGGCCAGACACGACTGCGTTATGCC